TAATGCATTGCCTTGACAGCGACCATATTCCCGCTGGAAAGCCTCTTGAAACGAGGCTTTTCGTAAACTTTACAACTGTCTAAAGTTGCATCATCTTTATAATATAACATGCAACCATCTTCACNGAAACGAGGCTTTTCGCAAAATTTACAACTGTCTAAAGTTGCATCATCTTTATAATATAACATGCAACCATCTTCACAACAATCAATTCTCATTGACGAAAGTCCTAACTTAGAAACCAATCTCTTCGCCTTATAGAAATCACCAGGTAAGTTGATATTAGGGTCAATTAGTTCACTCATAAGGTCAATGAAACNNTAAACCCTAATCCTCAATAAAATGCAATGTTCAAATAATTAAAACACTAATCAATTGAAACTAATTCATAACTAATTAATAAAACCTGGAAATAATAAATAAATGGGTTANAAAATCTTTAACCGACCAACGTTGGTCGGTAATTTTAAATATAAATTCTTAAATATTATAAAATATTTAAGAATAATAAAATAATTATTAAAATTTAAAAAATTAGATCTAAATTACCGACCAACGTTGGTCGGTAATCCAAAATTTTCTTGTCTGACCAGCTATTGACCAATTTACCGACCAACGTTGGTCGGTATTTTGTTTTAAAAAAATGTAAATATTTTTTTTCATAGTTTGCGTCCAACCTGGACGGTTTTTGGTCGCATTTTTTGACCGACCAATGTTGGTCGGAAATAGTTGGTCGGTTTTTAGCAGATTTTTAGTAGTGAAAATTGCATAAAATAAATATTATTAATAAGTCATAATGAAAATAACATAATTTAAAATTACGACTAATAAGTACTATTATTTACATGACTAACCACTAAAAGAAAAATAAGTAATATATTTTATCTAAACCATGGAAAAACTAAAAAATAGATATCCAACACTATTTTTATTCGTAGTACAATTGAATTGAATTTTTATTAGCATTAGTATTGATTTGATTTTGGTTTAGTTTAGGATTTATTTGAGTTAATAACATTTATGGACTATAAAACTTATTGAAGCATCCAAAAGTTATAAGCCAAACTTGAAATAATACGTTAAAAGATAAAACTATGAAAAAACTTTAAAAATATTTATAAACTACACTACAATAAATATTTTTATGTATTAAATATATTTAAAATTTTTATACATATAATGTCGGATTAGTTTGGTTTCGGTTTGACTTTTTTTAGATAAAATCAAATGAGACCAAATATGGTCGGATTTCTTTTTTCCAACACCAAACCAAATCACACTAAATCATAGTCGGGTCTTTTTTCTCGGTTGACTCGGATTATCGGGTTGATACGGTTTGTGAGTTTCATTTGTACACCCCTAGATATTGTTAGCAATGATTGTTTCTTCAATTTGTAGGTCTAATTGATCACAACCTATATAAGAACCAGATTATCTATTGCTTTTAATCCTGTTTGCACAGGCTCGTGCACATATTTTCGCTCCCAGGAAGTTTAAGCTGCGGGTAGTTGTTGTAAGATAATTGGGTAAATCCCCACAAAACTTGATATCTCATGTTTCGTTGATATGTGAAAAATGCAAGCCATTGGTATGTTATTATGGTGCTGTATGACAATATTAGTGGTTGTTATAAATAAGGAAAACAAAAATATCAAGAATTTAACATATATCGACCAACCGAAAGCAAAATAATATCGCTTGCATTAATGTCTTCAAAAAAAAACCACTAAGATTAGGACATTTGAATGCATTTAGAAGGATTAGAAAACACATTTCACATGCAATTCCCTTTTTAGCCATTTACTAAATTTGACACTTAAGGTCTAGAACTAACTCAATTATTGTCTGGCCAGGAAGACATAGGCAAACAAAAGGAAATATGCTAAAGTGAACTCCACATGACTCCTTTTGCTCTCAATCAAATGGAAACAATTTAATTTGGGGTTTGGGGGACCTGTGCGAGAAAAACCTATTCACACCCTATACTTATATCGATTTAATAAATATATGATATTTGTCTTTACATGAATTTGTACTAGTTAATAGTAGTTGATCAGTCAGTAAATACAACTACAATAAATATATGTCATGTTTATAATCATTTTTTTTCCTAGTATAATTTGGTATAAATAACGAGTATGAATAATCGAATTTTTTCCATCCAGTGTTTTGTGGGGAGGGTGTTTTCCGAAAAAGGAAGGCAAAATTGGACTATAACTGCATCGATCAATTGGTGTTGTACTTGTCTGAAGAATTAATGAGCGTGAGAACAAAAGCCAAAAATATCTCAAAACCTTTGTGGGTGGTAACTTTGCACCACTTGTATTACATGACTAAAACTATCTACAAGATTCTGCTATTATGTTCTTGTTCAAGAATATGTTCATAGGCATAACTAAAACTATCTACAAGATTCTGCTATTATGTTCTTGTTCAAGAATATGTTCATAGGCATAACTAGAAGAGACAGAATATAAATAATTAGATATATGAAAAAGTCTAAAAAAATCAACGTATAGTAATAAATATATATAAAATAAAAAAAATTATCTAACAAAATTATATAATTTCCGACGAAAAAGTGTCGCTTGACACCATGACTTCAATGTGGCTTCGCCACTGATAACTATAGTAAATATATAAATTAACCCCATAAATATCATAACATAATATCATTTGAAGCCATCACCATAACCATATGATATGATTATTAAAAGTCAAACCCAAGAATAAAATTATTCTAGATAGTTGCATTAACTAAAGACTTAGGAAATAGCTTGGGAGAATATTGAGCATGCTTGAAATGGTTATTAATAATATTATATTATATTACATCAATAAAGAAACAAACTTCCCAAATACAACTTCATAAGTTCTTGAAAGAGGGACCCCAAAGGTGAGATAACAAACCCCACATCATGTACAAGAACACCAATAGTTACTACTATTATTTCCCTCAAACGGAATTTATTCTTAACACCACTTGACAAAGCTTAACAAAAGTACTAATACTTCTCTACTACTTGATACATATTTTTATCTTAGATCTATTGCTTAGAAAAAGGATTCTATCTCTTGATTCTTTCTCTTCAACCATCCGATATAACCAGCTGGCCGCTCAGTATTCAGAATTCACTGGTCCGACAAATTAGTACTGCAACAAGACATCTGCAGTCAAAATAGGCTGATTGGCACAAAGATAATTCCAAGAATTGGTCATGTTGAACCCATCAACCATAGGTTCATTTTGTGCAAAATTGAAGCTATAAGGCTCTTCTTGATTATGGTCCATATTGGCAAGACCATTACAATTGTTATTGGCTTCCAAGAAAGTAATAATTTCATAGAGTGACTCAAGCCTGTGGCTTAATTCAGCTAATTGAGCTCTCAAGATTGAATTTTCAGCCTCAACATTAAGATAATGTTGTGTGGTGACATTCATACTTGTCAAAATCTGGTTATTTTGTTTTCTTAGTGTTGTAACTTGGGCCATTAATTCATCCAAATGCTTCTGTTTTCTCATCCTTGATCTTCGAGCTGATTCTCTGTTTGATATCATTCTCTTCCTCTTCCTCTGATCCATTAATTCCTGAAGATCTTCTTCTGAGCCTGAGTTTTGAAGAAATAATGATGACCCTGATGATGTTCCACTTGATGAAGCCATGACCAAATATTTCAAGAACAGTAGTAATATTTTCAAGATTTAGAGAGAGTTAAAAGTACAAAATAAAAAACTAGCAGGACCCAAATGGAGATTTTGACTTAGAAACAGAAAACTAGGAAAAATATTGAAGATTTTATTTATTTTATAATAATATATAGAGAGGGTTAATATATATAAGAGAAGTACTTATTTAGGGGGAGAGGAGGAAAATCATGAAATGTAGTAAAACCAGTAGAGGAAAACAACTGAGAAAGATTGCACCAAATGGGTCCTGCGCCTATATGTGGAATTTATCATAAACCCCGAAAGAAACAGTTCACTGAGAATTGCAGACATGAATTTCAAAGATTAGAAATACTAGGGGTAGCATTAAGATTAGCTAAAATAATAAAACCACTGATGATTAATTCTTGGTAAATATATGGCAAGGCTAGATTTCTCCTGCTGAGAACCCAGCCTGATAACAACAGAAGAAAATTAACAAAAAGACACTTTCTTGGTATTTTTTTAGAGACTTTGGGTAGAGGTTCCAAGAAAATCTTGAAACCAAAGACTAAAACTTGACAGAACAAGGGATCAAGAAAGAAAAGAGAGCCTTTGGCTGATGATGTAGAGAGAAAAGGAAGGAGAAAAAGAGGGGGGTTAAAGAAGGTGTTTAGGCTGGGATTTTATAGAAGAAAAAAGTGGGTGACAATTATTAAAAATTAGATTTTAGTTTATATTGAAACTTATATAGTATATAGATTTTTACACTAATAATATTTTTATATTATTATAACAGGTGATTTGTCTTACTTTTCAAGTTAATTATTATTTTTTATCCACAGTTACTTACTTTTATTTTCTAGGTGACATAATAATATAAAAAAGTTACTCTAACATGTATAACAAAATTTTATTCTCTTGAGTATTTTAACGCGTGTTAGAGTTGGTAGAGTCGGATCCAATATTTAAATTTTATGGGTTCAATGTTAAGGTTTTTAGTATTGAACCCATTATATTTTTAAAGTTATGAGTTTATATATATTATTTTTGTAAATTTCATGATTTTTTTACACATAATATTTTATCCCGTATCGAAAGTTATGGGTTCAATTGAACCCGAAAATTGAACACTACATCCGCAAGGCAATATTCTTATTTTTTAATTTACTAATCTCACGTTTTATAAATAAATATAGTAATTATAAGTAACCTAATAAGTCGTAAAAATTTTTACATTATCATTTGTAAAATTAAACTCATTAAAAAGTTGCTCAAAGAACTAGGAAAAAACAAACTGAGGGGTAAAAATAAAATACTTATAAAAAAGAAGTTTGGAATCTACTCAGGGAAAAGGTGGGGTGGGGGAAGAAGGTGATGGGGACATGTGGGGTGGGAGCAGAAACCTCCACGACCGTCTAGATCCAGCTGGGGAGCAACATCACATACTAAAGTTAAAATCTTCAACTATTCTCTTTCCTCACAAATCCTCAGAGTTTGTCACAATATCACTCAAGCCCACATAAACTTGGCTATCTTTTATTTTTTTTACTTTTTAAAAAAGGAAAATTGAGGGAGGCGATTATACGTGGTGAATTAATCTTTTACCGACAAAGTAAAAGTTCAAACAATCAATCTATTGAGCTACTAATGTCTAATTATTGCTCTATTAGTTCACTGCAAAAAAAATTGAAATTAGTTTAGAACGACTTCGCTAAAACGCTCGTAGCTAGCAGAATTTCTTGATAATTCATCGCTAATTGAGATTGGCAGCAACAAAATTTTTTGTTTAGCTACAGAATTTGTCCGTCGCTAAAATCTGATTTTTTTAGTAGTGGCTGAAACAGTGAAGATGAAGTATATAGATGCTCTAGTGAGAAGGTATGAGAGATTGGCTATGAAGGGTTAATGAGAAGTAGAGGTAGGTCTAAGAAGTATCGGGGAGGGATGATTAGGCACGACATGACGCTACTTCAGCTTACTGAGTATATGACCCTTGATAGGAAGGTATGGAGGTTGAAAATTAGGGTAGAAGGGTAGTGGTTTAGCGTGCGTGTCTTATTTATATGCCAATCTCATTAGCATTGGCTCTTATTTCATTTCTTTGTATCCGCATATTTCTTATACTATATGTCATTTCTTTCGCTTCAATTATTATATCACCTTTTGCTTGCTATGATTATTATTTGTTGTTTGTGTTTCCTTTTTAGTTTTTTTTCTCTTGAGCCGGGGGTCTATCGGAAACAGTCTCTCTACCTTCGTAAGGTAGCGATAAGATCCGTGCACACTTTACCTTTCCCACATCTCACTTTGTGGATATCACTGGGTTTATTGTCGTTAATTGAAACAGTAAACTTAAAGTTTAAAAAGTATGAACAATATTTTTTATAATATCAAATATTTTTAAATAATTTTAATTTATCAAAATGACTAATATTTGTAACTATCACTTCTCCTGTCTTCCACAATTATGTTTTATGAACAGAAAATATCAAAAAGGAGTTAGTATAACATTTTGAAAGACAACTTAAAAGGGATTATTTTCCTTTCTAGGGAAAAGAAAATGAAGATGTAATCAAGTCCAAGAGTCCAAGTTGTAAATGAAGTCTTTTGAAGAAATAACTTTAAAGTACAACACGGTGGCAAGAGAGTACACACGGGGGAAAAGGCAATTAAAACAAAGTTACAAGGTAGGTGTTTTCATATTATTGCTTGGGTTAGGGGTGTGCATAAAAATTCAAAAAATCGAACCAAATCGAAAATTATACCAAATCAATCAAAAAAATCAATACTTTTTAGGTTTGGTTTGGTTTTGATTTTAAATTTTAAAAATCGAACAAATTTGGTTTGTTTTTGGTTTAATAAAAAAATAATCGAACCAAAACGACTATAAAAGTAGCTATTTAAATTTATTATTACACCTATATATATGTATATTTTTATATAAAATTTCTAAAATTTTATGATACATATTAGTCTTTTGTATTTTTAGTCTAGTTTTTTGCTATTATAATAATATAATTCTTTGCTTTTACATTCATGTTAAAAATAATCGATTTTTAATTGAGTAATTAAATTATTTATCACTGTTTGATTCAATTATCATCAATATATCTTGGTAAATGATAGATTTCTCAAACAGCAATTGGTTTGATAGTGTTACGTTAAAAATATAGTTGACCAAATATGTGTTTAGTAGTGCATGTCTCATATTTAAGAAAAAAATCGATAAATAACCAAAAAATTAATAAACCGAATCGATAAAAAAACCGATTTAATTGGTTTAGTTTAATTTCAATATTTAAAGAATCGAATTAGTTGATTTGATTTAATTTTAGAAAAAAAAATGGATCCAAACCGAACCATCGGACAGTTAAAAGGTCTATTTCCCGTGTACACACACTACAGTTAGAAAGAACTTACAGTAAGCTTTTCACTTTCCTTCATTTTCTTTTTTATTAAATTTTGCTTTTGTCTTTTTCTTTTTCATTTTTAATTTGTTTCTTTTCAGATGTGATGTTTTTAAATGACACGAGTCATCTCGGTTAATGAAGTATTATTGGGATGTGTAGGTAAGCAGTAGAGTAAAATGTCCGCAATGCCCCTAAGTGATTCAGATTTCCGTACATATTTAGTGGTAATTTTGTCATCCCATTTGCACACCACGCAGATTCCGTTGAGTCTGTGTTTGGTCTCCGGTTGTTTTTTTTTCTCCTGGGAAGAAGAGCCGGAGTTAGGATTTGAAATTTGGGTTCATTCTTAAGTTATTTATTTTTAATTAATAATTTATTAATATTTATTAAATTTTTTAATAAAAATACATGATTTAAATAAAAATTATTGAATTCGACCGAACTTATAACTAATACAGTGGGCTCGGCCCCTGATTGTGGGATACTCGTTTTTGGGATCAGTTCAAATTTGTACGGGAAAGTTTCATTTTTGGAGTAAAGAGCTTCTTATTAGAGGCTATATCATACTCGTGTTAAAATCTCTAATAAAAAATGTATGAATATTTAATTAAAAATGTGAATTTGGTGCTCAAATCTGAATGTATTTCAGACTTCTAAAGGTATATACGGAGTATATTTTTTGCGATGTGATTAAAGGATTAGAATAACATAGGCCATGAATATTAATGGCCATTCAAATGTGACATAATAAGAAGTCAAAAAAATTGACATTTTTTTTTGGAAAATGACACCGTATAACTGCTATCAAAATAATAGGCGAAACAATATATATTGTTTATATATATATATACACATTCCGTATGTTATACATAAAAATTATATAAATTTTATATATTTTTTCGATTATCGAACATAAATAGTTTTTAGTGTCGGCTAAAAGTGTAAAAAATCCTTTTTTTAACGGTACATGGTCCATACCTTTGATTTCTTACCAAATATGAAATTAATATCCACATTCCTCTCATTCATTATATTCACTCCAAATTGGCCCAAAGTAAAGAAAAGCTTAAAAGACGATCAGAGTGAGAGTATGGATCTGGAATCTTCACAAGGAAAAGCTTAAAAAGCTGCTTACAAAATGAATCTGAAAAGAATCGTGTCCCCTACGAAAATATATGATTGATGATGGAGCTCCGGAAATAAATGAAGAAAAAGACAGCAGCGGTGGAGCCATAGACTATTACTCGTAACAACAGAAAAATTACAACACTGATGTGCAGGGGCCTACTGGCCCACTTGCTGGTGAGTTTTTTTTTTTTTAAAAAAAAAATTTATATCGTGTAAGATACATTAAAAAGTAAAGCATTATTAATCAAAATTTTTATTTTATTTTAAAATTTGATCTCGAGACCTCTTATTATATGTGATTGCGAAATTCTATTACAACAACAACATACACAGTATTATCCCACACCGTGGGGTATGAGGAGGGTAGTGTGTACGCAGCCCTTACCCCTACCATGTGAGGATAGAAAAGCTGTTTCCAAAAGACCATCGGCTCAGGAAAACAAAATGACCACATTAATGAAAATATAGACAAGAAGTGACAGTACCAAAAAGTTATATAAAAGCAGAATAAAAATAAAAGGATAGTAAGGTGATCGACAATGAAGGAAACAACGATTAGTCATAAAAACCTACTACCAACAGAAAGCGAGACTACGTGCCAATACTACTGTTATGAACACTGTAGACTACCTACTCTACTATCCTAATCCTCGACCTCCATACCTTTCTATTATGGGTCATGTCCTCGGTCAACTGAAGTTGCGCCATATCTTGCCTAATCACCTCTCCCCACCTCTTCTTTGGCCTACCTGTACCTCTCCGTAAGCCATCCAATGTCAACCTCTCACACCTCCTCATCGGGATGTCTGTGCTCCCCCTCCTCACATGACCAAACCACC